AACTCCACTCAGTAATTTTTGACATAAAAAGCACATAAAAAGAAATTAGAAAGTGGAATTGATGAAAGTGTTATTATTGTGAGTATGACATGGGAGTAGTAGAGTAGAGTGACTGGAATAAGTACATATGTACCGGTATGACATGGGAGTAGTAGAGTAGAGTGACTGGAATAAGTACATATGTACCGGTATGACATGGGAGTAGTAGAGTAGAGTGACTGGAATAAGTACATATGTACCGGTATGACATGGGAGTAGTAGAGTAGAGTGACTGGAATAAGTACATATGTATTCAAAAGTTCACTAAGGATCTAGGAATTGGAAAAGAATATTGGAATAGATTGGATTGAAATGAAAAATTAATACAAGAAATAGTTTATTGAAATTGGAACAAGTTGGAACAAATGAAATAGAATAGAGTATATTGGAATAGAATATAGATTACATTTAAATTGGAATAAAATAGTTAGGAATGAATTAAAATAGATTATATTAGAATAGATTAGATTAGATTATAGTGGAATTGGATTAGAATAGATTTGAATGAATTAAAATGAATTATATAAGATTAGAATAGATTAGATTATATTGGAATAGAATAGATTGGAATGAATTAAATTAAATTATATTAGAATGGAAAAGAATAAGTTGGAAATAATTGGAATTAAAATAGAATGAAACAGACTTAGACTATGATCATAGCATGTAAAACTTATAGAATTGAGAAAAAATATGACTGAATAATAAAATGAAATTAAATACTTTGGACTAGAATAGAATGAAATTGATTGTAATGGAATGGAATAAAAACAATTTCAAATAAATCAATATTTGGTGTGAAATTAACTGTTCAATATATGTCTGATTGCATAATGAATATTAAGTGGATATAGGCCCAGAATTGGCGTAAGAATTGAAAAATGATGAATGTAATACCAAAGAAACTGCGTAGAGTAATCACGTTTTTGATAAACAAAATTGAGTCCATGTAAAGTAGGTGATCATTTCAGCCCAGCATTTCATGCACCTGAAGAAGTCTTAAAATATAACTGCGTTGTATTTGATGGGTAGCTATCACGTATAAACTACTAATTGGGTACCATGAATGGGGTACTGATTTAAACTCAGTGCTAAACTTAAGTATACGTTGTCAACACTTCACTTCTTTTTTATTATTACAAGTTTATTATGGGAGTCTTGTGAATTGTAAATTTCATGTAAAATAAATCACATTGATGCCCAAATGCTTTGCTGCATAGTCTTCATTGGAAGAATGTAAAGCCACACTAAATAAAGTTATTGTTGTTCGTGCATTGCTGCACGCAGACTACAAAACCAGTGAGGCCATACAGAACAAATTCCTGTATTTCATTGGGCCTGACATTTAGATTGTTTGTGTGCATATGTGATTCAGAGTTAAAGTACTTGCTTTGGTAATACAATTTGTACAATTCTGTTGTTGGAGTTAGGCAGCATATAGATGAAGAGTTCGGCTGTGCTTTTAGAAACTGTTCAATTCTGTTGTTGGAGCTAGGCAAGACATAGATAGAGTTAGGCAGTGCTTTAGACACTGTACAATTGTGTTCTTGCAGCTGGGCAGGACATACATGTAGATGAAGAGTTTAAGAGTTGTTATTGTCCACTCTTATACCCTCTGTTTACTGTACCGTGAAATGAAGGGTCATCAAAGGTTGATTCCTCAAATAGATTGTTTTTTACAGTTCAAATGATATGTCTGAGCACTTCTTGTCAAAATATGCAGTTGTATGTAATGTTGAAGTCTGACATTGTGGTAAATATAGAGATAATACAACACAGTATAAATGTTCTCATATTTGCAAATGTTGTCGTTTTCAATATGGGTTTCATGTGACGTATACAACTCAAAACTCACTGGCTTTTAATAATTCTCATTTTATTGTCAACACCTTTTTCAAATTAATGTGTTCTTTAACCACTTAAAAACAAATAGTTCAATCAGAATTCAGTCAGAGAATATTTTTATTTGATGAAATATAAATCCTGAATTTTTTTTTTTAAATGTTGTCTGTATACGATAGCCAGGTTGTGTTTTTGAGAAGAATCTTAAAGAGGATGTCTTGTGCTGGAGGCACTTAGTGACATGGCATTACAGGGCTATACAATGTATATAGTAATTATATATACAATGAAACCTACACAAAAATAGATGCATGTTCTAGTCGTAAATTAAACATACTACTTTATCGTATAATTTAATTGGTTCGTAATCTATTGGGAAAACTATAATGACATCAGAATTTCTCAACTCCCTCCAGTGATTTTATATATCTTGCTAAAATTAGAACATTTTTTTTAACAACAGATGTGGGCAGCTTTTTGGAATCTCTCAAGTGGTCGATCATTTATGTTAACAGCACAGCAAGTTTTTTTTCAAACTGAGTTCTTATAAATAATATTTAGATTTGTAAAATAAACTATCATTATTTTTATTTTATTTTATTATGTTTTCATTTTGTCTTCATTTGTATTTTGTCTTGCTACTTTGTTTGTATCTGAAACTTTATTGTGTCTTAAAGATCCAGATCCTGAACAGGATATGATTTCAATAAAGGCATTATTATTATTATTATTACAGGCACACCCAACTTTTGTTTTTAATAGAAAAGACAATTTGATGATACATTATTTATTTTTTAAGGCAAAAAAAGTTGTTTCTGTTCTTCACATGCATCAGTAAAATCATTGCATATGAACAATTCTTCTTTCTGCACTTTAATAACTTGATAAAAGTATGCCCTCTCTGGCAGAAGTGACAATATATCTCCTTAAAAA